CACACACACACACAGGCGAAAAATTTGTTTTAATTTCGGTGACATTCTTGTCAGCATTGTAAATAGGGAAAGAAGCTGATATAGAACAAGAAACAGTTATAATAAGTTTGTTGTCTTCAAAGTTTCAAAATTAATGAACTACTCACCTAAAAAAGCAGGTCTTTTTTTTTTTTTTTATTTTTTTTTGCCACAAACACGGCGGTTTCAGCACCACCATAATCATCCTTCACTTAGTGATGCCCAAAAACAGTGAAAATTCTTTATAGTATTTTCTTAAAAATTGGCCATTCAACTGATGCAACAGGTTAAAGATAGCCAAAGTTTTGGATAATTTCACATCAACAAAAACAAAGCAGTAATAATCAGATACAGTAAAAAAAAAACATATGACAAGAAGCAACATCATCTTATCAGTGTTTATTACCGTAATTGTTTATATAATTAAAAAAAAAGTGTCTTCTAATTACACATATAAAGTTATAAAGTTTTACTACCTCTTTTTTTCCTTTTTGTTTCTTTACCAAACGATGTCTTAGAGGATAAAACAAAAGCAACTTTTTTGGCACATATGTTTGAAATTATGTAAATTATTTTACAAAATACTTATGAATACTTTTCAGTAACATAATTAATTGTGCTTAACTTTTTCAAAAACTATATTCTTCTTTTCTTTCTCTTTTTTTTTTTTGTTTAAACTTGGAAAATTACATTTGAAAGTTTTAAAATTTACCAGAAAAAAAAAAAGAAGACGAAAAAGAGAGATTTTTATTCAAGTGTATTATTTGTATCGCTTTCAAAAAACGCCCCTTTGAAAGACAAAAGTCTGAAAACCAGTTGCAAGAATCGTCTTCCCTTTTCCAATATACTTTTTACGTAGGCGTTTCTGTAGAAAAAAAAAATTCTTTTTTTTTCTATTTTACGCAACACGCATTACTGTTAGGTTTAACGGTATTCTACGCACAAAAAAGCTGATTCTTTTTACAACGCACTTTTTTGCTGTTTGGAATTTGTATTTAAACAAGTATCGGCACCATTTGAAGGCACAGGTCTGTTCTGGTTGGCAATCAGTAAGTGATGTTGTTGCTGAAGTCCCTAGTTATCCTAGCACTTATTGCTAGCGCTCAAGCTCAATTTGGTGGTAACTGTCTTTGCTGCATGTAAGCATTTCTTACTATATTCATTTTCTAAAATATTACTTTGACAAACTGTAAACCAATAACAAATGACGACAATATTTTTTTCCCTCTTTATTTTTCGTCCTTTATTTTTTTCTATTACTTTTTTGTACATTAACTTTTTTCTTTCTTTCACTTTTTTTTTTTGACTATATTTAACATAGTTTTTCTGTTTTATTCTTTCTATTTTTATTTCATTTTATTTTTCCTTACTGCTACTGCTATTCTTCGTTTTGTTGCGCTTGTCACTACGATTAGTGTTATTTTACTGTTCCTCTTCTTTTTTTTCCCATTTTTCTCTTCTTTTTTTTCTGCAATTACTTAAATGCCAAAATTATTGAAAAAAAAAAAACAAAAATACAAAAAAAATGCTTTTATTTTCTTCTCTTTACCTCCTTTTATCAAATAAATAAATATTTTTGTATATTTTCCTTTTTTAGTTTTAAATTTTAGTTAAACTGCGTCACAAACAATTAATTTTTACTTTCTATTCAAAGTTTTTGCAAGTGATATCAATTTTTTTTATTATAATTCTGGTTTTTGCTTTTTTTCTTTTATTTTTTTCAGTCTGGAATTGAAACATTACAATGATTACAATAAAAATACCTATTTCTTATACTTAATTTTCTAATTTTAAATTTTATAAAATTTAGTAAACTTATAATTTTTAATTAAAACTTACTTAATAGATTTCCTGATATTTGTATTGATCATCTTTATTTTTCAGACCTCTCCTAGCATGCCTCTGTCAGTGTTGTATGCAGATGTGCGGCGGAGGAGGCGCTGCTGCACCTCCCCCACCACCACCACCGCCACCGGCTCCAGTTTGTTGTGCTCCAGCAGCACCTGCAGCACCACCACCACC